GCGGGATCCTCCGCCTCCGCCTCGCCAGGTAGGGGTTGAGGGGCATGCGGGTGCCCGGGTAGCCTTCCTGGCCTCGCCACGTTCCTCCCTGCTCACCTGGGGAGCCCCAGCTGCCACGTGGGGGTCCCCCAGGCAAGGCCGGGCTGTAGGTTTTGCCATCCAGGCTCAGCTCTTGCAAGATTTCCCGCAGCTTCTCGCTGCTCACGTAGCTGACTTTGGGGGACGACTCCCAGGCCATGCCAGCTGAGATGTCCTGGCCTGGCAGCTGCTCCGGAGGCTGCCCGCACTCCCAGCCATCTTTCGAGTCACGTTGGAGGCCATCCTCCACGTCAAAAAGCAGTGCCCGGGAGCAAACAGGCTCGTGGCTCGCGCTCGCACCTTTCCCGAGGTCCTGAGCATCCCGGCAAAGAGGGGGCGTACCCAGCAAGCAGGGAGGCTGCCAGCCATCCCGCTCTGCATCCCGGGGGCACCAGTCCCCCAGCACATCCCTGCGTCTTCCCGAGCTCCAGGTGCCAGGAGCTGCCTGTGTAAGTTGAGGGTCGCAGCCGCTCTCAGCCGACATCAGCCTCATCAGCTTCTCCTTGGCGCTGCTCACTTGCTCCTGCAGGCTTTCGATCACGGCGTTTTTCTGCATCAGACAAACAGGGTTGTCAGGCCGCCGGTTTGGAAGCAGGCGCTGCTGGGACAAAATGGATCGCCCCTCAAGGGGCACCGCCACACCGGCAGCACGGGTGTCCCCGTCCTCCCCGGCAACCCCCGGAGCCCCCCAAGATGTGGAACAGGAAGGGGGGCAGCAGGGCAGGCAGGGCGAGGGAGCAGGGGCTGGGGCTTCTCCCGAGACAGAGCATCTCCTCTCTACATCAACCGTGTTTGGGCTGTGGGAACCAGGCTCTCCTGCTCTTTTCCGTCCATGGGTGGTTTTTTTTTTGGAAACCCTCTGGATCATGCCTAAATTTTGGTGCTTTAAGGTGCAAAACAAAGTAGCTCTTCCCCTCCGGAGAGGGGGGTGGCAGTGCGGAGCAGGGTGTAAGGAAAGGCTTCCCACCCTGGAAAAGGACGGGGAGAAGGCGGCGCGGCCGAGGGGCACCGGCAGAGCCCCATACCTCAGTGAGCAGCCGCTTCATGGAGTTTTTCTCCCCTATGAGCTGGTAGAGCTGCTCCTCGCTGTACACCGAGCGGCAGCTCCTGCTCGGGCTGCTGAAATATTTCGCCATGTGGCTCACAGTTTGGCTTTCTTCTTCAAAGGCTTTCCACTGCTTGAGCTGGGGAGGAGAAGACGATGTCACCGGCGTGGCACGCACAGCCCCTGCCGCCGCGGCGGGAGGCAGGGGCAGGGCGGGGGGGGC